AGGTTGCAGGTTGTCTGGAAAGAGACTTACGGGAAGAATCAAGGTATGAGAAGGGAGAGTAGCATGCCAGACCAGTGGGAACCTCCACCATACAATACTCTGAAGTGTAATGTGGACGCAGCCATTTTCACGTCCGGTGCTGGTTTTGGTGCTGTGGTTCGTGATCATGATGGTCGTTTCGTGGCAGCTAAGTGTGGCAAGTTGCGATGCGACAAAGACCCGTACATGGCTGAGGTCGCGGCAGCAAAGGAAGCGCTAAGCTGGCTTAAAACCTTGAATCCGACTCATGTTATTTTCGAATCTGACTGTTTAAATTTTTGCATTGCTTTTAATTCCAGTGTAATTGATTTATCGTATGTAGGAGCTATTGTTATGCAATGTCGGTCAATTGCGAGGGACATAGGGAACGTTTGTGTTCGCCATGTCATGAAATCAGCGAATCTGGTGGCCCATAAGTTGGCTCGGGCAACCGATTCCATGGCTGTCTCAAGATCGTGGGTTGATACCCCACCTACTTGTCTTGCTGGGTTATTGAATTAATGAAGTTACTATCTTGTTTTCAAAAAAAATAAAAAAATAAAATAACTTGATAATTGCTGACATAATATTTACATGTACAGAAATTATCAATTGTAGGTATATATAGAATGCGTCAATTATAGATACAGAATTGGACTTGATAATTGCTAACACATAATATGATAGCTACAGATACAGATCGAAACTATCAACTGCAGGTACATAATGTGTTAATTATAGATACAAAATCGGTTATTTTTAGACTATGGTCTACAATGCAAGGTAGACTTTATTGATTTTGGCCATGTTTGATAAATGGTTGTTAGATATTAGCTGATTGGGTTAACTAGTTGATAACATTAGCTGATTGTAGAAAGGTATTTGGTAAATTAGTTGTTAGCAGATAGGTGTTTGGTATAATTTCTTTTCTCAAAAAGCTCTTTGAAAAAGTTACTTTGAGTAGTTTTTTGAATTTTAACATTTTGGAGTACAAAAAGCTAATTAATCAAACACTTATATTGATTTTTAAACTAAGTTAAACAATTAATAGTGGTCAAATAAGTCAAAATTAACATATAAGCTAACTATTTTACAAAGGCCTTTATGTGCTGGTTTGACCTCAAATTCCGGCTGTTTCATTGCACTAATGCCAAGACCAGGAATGGTGATGATTAATACACGTACCATGTTTCAGGGGATTCAATTATATTCCTTAACTTATTTCAGGCAAATTTTGTTTTGGCTGTGATGTGATTCCATATTTTGACTTGTAACATTATATTTTTCGAAGCCCACAACTCTCCAACTATTCCACATGCATCCTAATATGCTATGCTACTGTCCCACATGCTTTGGGAAAAAGTTTATTTCAATTTTCAATTTTAATATACATTTTAATTTGGAGATTTGTCAATGCACATAACGTGCCGTTGGCTATCCCAATGCATAACGTGATCGATGTTGAAAATATTGACATGTATGTATATCTCAATTGTAATATCATTATATTTTTCGTGTTTTATTAAAAACATAATTCAGTATCTTTTGATATGAACATGAACATAATATGTACGCATTACCCATGTCATGACTTTTAAATTCGTGCATAACTATTTAATAAATAAAAAAAAAAATTAGGAATACGGGTCAAATAGATCATACACACGATAATGCAATTAGATCATTGAACCTAAAAAGTTTAGAATTGAATCTTAAACTAACGAATTTCATGCAATTTTTTGAATTTGTAAGTTTCTAACAGATCATCCCAAATTTCATTTTTTTAAAAAACTTTTTTAAAAATAATTATATAAAATTTAAAAAAAACAGGACTTCATCTCCATGGCCAAAGACAAAGAGTTTCTTTGTCGCCGGCTGAGGATGAAGTCTTGTTTTTTAAAAAATTAAATAAATAATTTTTTTAATATTTTAATTTTAAATAATTACTTTTTAAAATTATTTTAAATTTGAGTTGACCTGTTAGAAACCTGCAAATTGGATAAATTGCATGAATTTGATTAGTTTAGGAATTCAATTGTAGGATTTTTAGCTCCAAGGTCCTAATATTGCATTATTGTGTATGCAGTTCGATGGTCTATTTGATTCTCATTATATTCCAAAACTCTAACTAGGCTTCGAAAGAGGTGACGGAGTAAATGGAGCATGAATGCATGATTTTTTTTTTTGGATAGTCATGAGTTCAATTTTTGCCTAATATCCTCTTAGTCAATCTCATTGAATAAGACATTTCTAATATAGTTTACCTGTTTTTTTATGTTGTATGGGGGCTAAGATTTAACCATTTACACTTCCAGACAGTGGTTACAAATTATTTTTGTCATAAAAAAATAACAAAAATATAACTTTATTTTATATATATATATATGTCATCAACATCATCATTCTTTTTCTTAGAGAGAGATTTAGTTAGTTCCAAAATGAAACTTTTGAAAATTATTGAGGTTTGGGTAATGATCTAGCATGTTAGTAGCTAGCACCCTATGTTTCATGCCATATTGCTATTGCTGCCCTAATTCATCATGTTGGGAAATTAAAACCGAAACGGATTTGGTGGGCCAAAATGCTGACTCTTGTATGTTCAATTCATACACAGAACCACCGCACCACGTCAATACATACCAAAATTCAAATAGTTACAACTTACAAGCTAAGCGCCAAAAAGGTTGTGTGATCAACGTCAACAATACCCAAGAGGCACGGGAACTAGTTCAAGAGAAATTGTCACTTGTAAGAATCAAATTCAGATTGTCCACTGCTGAAAATTATGGAATTTTTGACCACCTGAAAATGATTTTAAATCAAGTCGAAATCTTTGTTCCGACCACTTTTTGGTGTCCGGAAAAACCTTTATAGCTATTTCCAACCATTTTTTGCTTTCGACTTAATTTAAGATCACTTTCAAGTGGTCAAAAATTCCATAATTTTCAGTAATAGTCCCAGGAATCGTCTCCGTAAAACAACTCATTTACCACTTGAGCTACCCCGCCCTTTTGGGTTAATTTCCTATGAAACTTAGACTAATCACTCCACAGAATTGGTTGTACTGATATCCTGCAAATCCCCTGCAATATATAAGATAATGGTATTTTTTTTTTTTCTCATATAACATGTTGTAATCGACTAATTGTCAAATTAAGATGCCTACTATTAGTTATTAATAATGATATTTCAGTTTATCACTAAATATAATTTGTTATTTTTCTATGTTATAAAATTCAAATTATTTTTTAAAATAAAAATAAAAATTAGAGTATTGAACATGTGTATTGCGTCAGTGAATAAGGAAATTAATATTTAGCATGCATGTGATGATATACTTGATTTGTACGTTAACGGCGGGCGGCTGCCTTATTGTACGTGTTGTTACTTCCATTTCAAGCAATATAATTGCAGTTTTTTATTTTTGACAACTTATTGGAATTAATCTGATTTCTACACTACTTAACACTAAAATATATATTTTTATAATATACAAGTTCAATCCAAACCCAAGCCCTCAATGTTTTCGGCAGAAATAGAATCCATACCATGTCGCTTCATCACTAGACCAATACCCTAAGTTATAATCGTTGTAATTTCATCATGCAGATGCCCTTATTGAATTAATCATCTATTACACCCCTAGATAGGACCGTAACATATCTATTACAATCAGGGTTGTAAAAATCGGTCTAGGCGCCTCTAGACCGTGGCGATTTCCCCCTTAGGCGCCCGTCTAGGTTACGTTACTGGCCGCCTAGACGTCCGTCTAGCGCCTAACTCGGCCAATTTGGCCGCCTAGCGTCGAAGTTAGTCGAGTTAACTCGTCCATTTCGATCGGGTTTCGGTCGAGTTAACCCGATCGGCTCGGCCTATTTTTTTTATTATATATATGTGTGTGCGCGCGCGCGCATACATATATATAATATGACATATATACACTCGTAGACTAGTTTGATACTTTGAATCTTTGGATGATTGAAGTATTTGAGTATTTTTAATTTTTAATATTATTTTAATGTTTTTTTTTTAAAATCATTATTTTGATGTTATGACTTATGAATTATCTTTAATTCATTTATTTGGATGTGTTATTTGATTAAATGTTGAAAACAACCTCATTAAAATTGTCAAACTGCAAGTCTACCACTGTTTTTTTGGCGTCCGCCTAGCGGCGCCTAGATTCCGCCTAGGTGCTAGGCGCTGTCCGGGCGCCCGACTAGCGCCTAGCGCCTACTGCAACCATGATTACAATCCTAGATAGGACCGTAACGGATTGAAAACCTTTCGAGAAGGTTTCTGGCTCCTAACCGTATTCGAATCATGACAAACTCTAATTTCACACTTTGAGTATTCGAGAGCTCAACTCCAAGAAGAATAGTTAAAAATAATAGAATAATAGTATGTTTCTCTACTTCTTAATCTTCATATATAATAAACTTATTTATACTAAATTACTAGTAGCACATATAATAATTATAACCTAATAACATTATACTAACTATACAAAGTAATAATTATAGATACTCCTAACTAATCAATTTCCTCCCGTGCATGTATGTGGTTTTCATTCTCAAATATATTATTATATTATTTTCAATTCTCTTGCGTGCCTAAATCACTCCCATTTCCACTCCTAATCATTTTACGTAACCAACAATATTATTTTACTGTAAGAAATTACATGCATATAAATTATATAATAATAAATGATTAAATAATTTATTTTTGGGATTTTGATGATGAGACGATGGATGTTAGTTAGGTGACATATATAAGATTTTGCAGCAAAATAAATTCAAAAAAGTATTATATCGGTTCCAAATTTCCAATCATTCAAAAAGACAAAAGTGTATATAGTATTATGGTATGTATGGTATACATTTGTAGGAAGACCAAATTAGGCGCCAACAGCCTCAACTAATAAGCAGCAAATTAATTATAGATATAGTACTTCAATATAATAATCTAAAAAGCAGCATAAATATATATATATATATATATTAGCCGCCTATACTAGAGGCAACTCGCCGGCGTAACTAAACCGGAAGACGTGCCGTCAGCGTTAGAGCAGGAGGCTTCAGCAGGGTGATCTTTGTATGTTAAGTTTACATCATCCAACGTTATACCATTGCAGGGTTGTGTCTTGCTGCAGTCAAACGTCATTGCAACTTCAGTAGCTGATGTTCCATGTATGTCCTGGTACCTTATGTTACTTATCTTCACGCCAGAGCCCTAAGATAATAATTAACCAACAAAAATGTTAATTAACATTAGCATTAATTATATATGGAAAAGCAGATTTAATTTTGGGTGTTTTCGTTGATTTTAAGGTTTTGAAGATAGTGGTGGAACTAGGAATATAATCGACCTGATGAGGACAGTTTTGATCGTTAGGACAGTAATTTTGGTCGATGATGATGGGGTTTTGTACGTCAGACATGACTGCGTGCTGGAAAACAATATTTCTCACAAACCCGTTGCTTGGCCTTGCCCACGTTTTGATCCTCAACCCATTTTCAGTACTGGTAAATGTAACAGTTTTAACGGTCACATTTTGTACTCCAGCCTCTTGCTTTTCCCAACCTAAACTCCCAATACTGCGGGCACACAAACACATATAACTTAACAAAGATTCCTTAATTAAGATTCTTATTCATTTGTAAAGTAAAGGCTGCCGCAATGGAATCAAATTGTTTGTTTAAGGATGTTTTTGACGGACCGACCTGATTCCGTGGCCGGGGCCGCAAGCAATGTTTTCAATCCACAAGTTGGAGTTGCCGGGGCCCATCGAAATACAGTCGTCGCCAGTGCCGATGTGGGAATTCAAGATTGTTACATCGGACGACGATTGCACGTGAATTCCGTCGGTGTTGGGGCTGTTTCCGGGAGCCGAGATCATCACTTCTTGCAACTTGGCTTTATGGCAGCTGTCAATGCGAATGTGAAATTTTTGACTGTTTTTTGATCTTAATCCGTCGATAACAATGTTGTTTGAGTTGTAAAATGCCAGTGTCTGTACGTACATACGTTTGTATTTACCAAAATTCAAGTTAGAAAAAATATATATATAGTATCTATATGATTGAAGATTAATGTATACCGCAGCTCCGTCGGGGCAACTCTTGCCGGAATTTTTGCAGGACCAAAGAGCAGTGCCCTGAGCGTCTAGGGTTCCGCCGACAATGGAAACTCCAGTCACCCTTTCGAATTTGATCCAATTATCACCCTTTCCGATCACATTGTAGTCCGATGGGGCCAGAAGCGTGCCATCTATTTGAAACGAAATGGCATTGTTCTTGCATGTTTGGCCCCCAAAACTCACACTCCCAACCAAGAATGTCCCCGCCGGCACGTAAATGGTGGCGGGGGCGGTGGAGGCACACGCCGCCGCCCATGCCGCCAGAAAGGCTTTGGTGGAGTCACTCTTGCCATCGGGTTTTGCTCCATAGCTTTGAATGTTGTACTTAGCATTGGCTGCTAATGTACATGTTACGTACATAAAGATGAAGACAAGTGAGGAAAAAAGTCTACACACTGCCATGTTTGTATGTATATGATGATGGATTGTATGTATTGTAGAGAGAGAGAGAGGAGTGGTGAGAAGTTGAAGAAGAGAGGAGGGTATTTATAGGCAACAGGTGAACAATTGGTCTAAGAAATTGAATCATGCATGCATGCATGTATAAATCATGTGTAGCATTTGTCAATGTTTAACTAACAAAACGAAAAGGGAGTGTTTGGCAAAAATATGGAGAGTCAAGTCTATCTCCTACCTTCAAAATGTGGTGTTACCTGTTATACAAGTATAAAAAAATAAAATTACTTACTAATTATAATTTTTGGCATAACATTAAAAGCTTAGATTTGAAAAATTGGTATCCATGAAATACATGCATATAAATAATTTTTCATCTTTAGCGTAATTAACTTTTTAAATATTAAGACAATGAATACAAAAATATGAAAGAATTCTTGGGAAGACTGACCATACAAGTCTTCTTCGCAGGAATTTGGTTAAAAATTTGAAAGAAAATTAAATGGAAAGCAAGTGCATTATCTAAAATTTAGGCACGTATTGAGCATTAAATCAAGAGATTGGGTCCCAACTCCCAAGTGAAATTGTCAAACTTTCTACTTTCTACTATTCATAATTTGCCTTTTTTTTTTTTTTTTTGGCGAATTCGCCTATAAGATCATCTTACAGATCATCATCTGTGAGATAGATCGATATTTTTAAGTATTACAATTTTCATCTTAAGTAACCTTTCAACTCTTAATATTATATTTTGATTAAAAAATACTACATTTTTCATAACAAAAATTATCACATTTTTCGTAATATAAGTATTAAACTTTTTCTCGTAAGTAACAATTAAACCATTTATTCATAATTAGTATTACATTTTTTCATAAATAACTATTTAGCCCTAAGTATTACATTTTGATTTTAAAATATTATATTTTTTGTCAAAGTATTACAATGTTCATTTGGTTGCAAAATCGACCTAGACAGCCGGCCAGCCGTCTAACTTGGCCGAGTTAACTCGTCCAATTAGGTCGAGTTAACTCGGTCTTGATAATTTTTTCATTATATATATATATATATATATATATATATATATATATATATATATATATATATATATATATATATAGGGAAGGGATCAGGTGCATTTGCTGCTTCCCGTGCGGTTGTGTGGTGGATTAATGTGCGTGAGGTTTATACTTAATGGGCGTGAGTGTTGTGCTTAATGTGCCTGAGATTTGTACTTAATGTGCGTGATGTTAATATGCGTGAGTTTTGTACTTAATGTGCATGAGTATTGTGCTTAATATGCGTGAAATTTGTGCTTAATGTGCGTGAGTAGTTCAGAATTACGATCTCAGAAAGAAGCTGAACAGAAAACTCACGCACATTAACGCCCAAGCTTCTTGTTACTTCTTCCTTCAATTTGTCCATGGATTCTGGATTATCAGCTACCTTCAGTACAGTTGAATGTTTATATATATGACTTACGCACAGCAAAATTTGCACACTAGCTAAATGTGAATTTCTGTTGTATTATCATCATAATTCTTAATCACCCTAAGTATTAAACTTTTTCTCGTAAGTAACAATTAAACCATTTATTCATAATTAGTATTACATTTTTTCATAAATAACTATTCAGCCCTAAGTGTTACATTTTGATTTTAAAATATTATATTTTTTGTCAAAGTATTACAATGTTCATTTGGTTGCAAAATCGACCTAGACAGCCGGCCAGCCGTCTAACTTGGCCGAGTTAACTCGTCCAATTAGGTCGAGTTAACTCGGTCTTGATAATTTTTTCATTTTATATATATATATATATATATATATATATATATATATATATATATATATATATATATATATATATATATATATAAGGGAAGGGATCAGGTGCATTTGTTGCTTCCCGTGCGGTTGTGTGGTGGATTAATGTGCGTGAGGTTTATACTTAATGTGCGTGAGTGTTGTGCTTAATGTGCCTGAGATTTGTACTTAATGTGCGTGATGTTAATATGCGTGAGTTTTGTACTTAATGTGCATGAGTATTGTGCTTAATATGCGTGAGATTTGTGCTTAATGTGCGTGTGTAGTTCAGAATTACGATCTCAGAAAGAAGCAGAACAGAAAACTCACGCACATTAACGCCCAAGCTTCTTGTTACTTCTTCCTTCAATTTGTCCATGAATTCTGGATTATCAGCTACCTTCAGTACAGTTGAATGTTTATATATATGACTTACGCACAGCAAAATTTGCACACTAGCTAAATGTGAATTTCTGTTGTATTATCATCATAATTCTTAATCACCATAGCTCGCCTCTGCATCATCATCATCATCATCAGGGAGGGGGCAATGGCTACTGGGGATGGGGAAGAAGCTGATATCCATATTTTCTGCTGCATTTTACACATTCACGCACATTAAGTACAAATCTCAGGCACATTAGACACAACACTCACACACATTGAGTACAAATCTCACGCACATTAATCAACCGCACAACCGCACGGGAAGCATTCACCCGCACGGGAACCTTTCACTATATATATATATATATATATATATATATATATATATATATATATATATATATATATATATATATGTGTGTGTGTGTGTGTGTGTGTGTGTGTGTGTGTGTGTGTGTGTGTGTGTGTGTGTGTGTGTGTGTGGTCGCGTTCAGGTGCGAACGGCCGCCCAGGAGCGAATTGCAAACCAATCAGCACGCGCCACCTGTCCTTCAGTGCATGTAAATGTGTTTATATGTGCAAGCAGTTGGTGCACTTATGCAAGTAAAAAGTGCAGGTAAAATAATTTACAAGTGCATTTAATTTTGCCTGGTTAACATTCATTCATCGGGTGCACCTACTTCCACCTACAAGCAATGTTGCAAAATACGTTAGGCGCCGAGGGGGCGCCTAGGCACCGGTTTTTTTTTTTTTAAATTAAAAAAAAAAAAGTTTAACTAAAAATTGTAAAATTCACTAATAAAACATAAGGTTCCTCTAGTTTTTTCTTACAAATTATTTACGTAAGTGGTTGTAAAATCGTTCAAAATATTGTTGAAAACATTTAAATACATAAAAAAAAATTAAAATTAAGAGCAAAATAAGCATTTTTTGGAGAAATTAGAGGGCCAAACCACCTTTGGCTGTTTGTGGTGTATAGATCTCGAAAAAAATACGCAATTTGAAAGAAAAAATTTTCCAAAATGGATAAATGAGTCAAAAGTTATGCCTTGCCGAACTTTTAACACTTTACAACTAAAAAATAAAATAAACGGCCGGCTAGGCGGTCTAGGCGGCCTAGACCGCCTAGCCGGCCGTGGAGGAGGCCAATTCCGGCCTTCCTCGCCGCGGCCGGGCAGCGCCTAGGCGCGATTTTTGCAACACTGCCGGCTACAAGTGTATGTAGTTGGTGCACCTATGCAAGTAAAAGTGCTGGGTAAATCACTTACAAGTGCACCTATTTTCACCTACAAGTGCATGTAATTTTGCTTTGTTAACATTCATTTATCGGGTGCACCTACTTATAACTATAGGTGCACCTAGATCTGGACACGTAGCGCGCGCTGGTTGGTTCGCAGTTCACTCCTGGGTGTGCCGTTCGCACCTGAAGGCAACTATATATATATATATATATATATATATATATATATATATATATATGCTATGGATCCAATGAGATCACCAAATTAGGTGAGATCATGAGATCCCATCTCATTCATTGATAAAGTTTCAATGGATGGATATGATTGAAAGTCAAACAACAATTACATAAGGATAGATTTTAAAGACACAGATGCAAGAGTGATTGTATTTTGGTTTTCAATTGTAATAATTAATTATATTTTGTACATCTAAAATTTTAAATTATGGAAAATTTTATGGTGGTATGTGCATGCGTGGGTGTGAAATGGTGGGTGTGCGTTTTATATTTTGCCATGGTGAACATCTCCTGTTACATAAAACCGCACACGTCATTCCACACCCGCGCACACACCACTGTAAAATTCCCCACAATTAAAAAATAAAAATAAAAAATAAAAAATAAAAAATAAAAAAAACCACAACAAGCACAATACTATATCTACTACGCACTGATTATCTACTCGAAATTTAAACGTCGATACCTAAATTAGATTTGTATATTTTTGTTTTCTTTTGGATACGTTTCGCACGTGCCCGAAACTAGTAACGCACAAACCAAAAAACGCACGCGCCCATATCACGTAACGCATATACCAAAACGCGTAATTTTATGAAAAAAAAAAAAAAAACAGCACGCCATGGTGTATAGCTCTTATTACAGAAGAACGCACACGCCATTCCACACCCATGCACATACTACCGTAAAATTCCCCATAATTTAAAATTACAGATGTACAAAATATAATTAATTATTACCATTGATATGTTCCCTAATATTCTGGTAAAGATTCTATTTTAAATATAACCAAAATACAATTACTCTCTCATCATTGTCTTTCAAATCTATCCTTATTTAATGAGTTAATTCCAGCAATGGTCCTCCGACTATAGTGATTTTCCAAAATTAGTCCCTGACTTTTAATTTGGACACTTTAGGTCCCTTGACTTTCAATTTCTTTCCAATTGAGGTCCTTTCGTTAGAATACGGTTCATTAGACTTTAAATGAAGGGGTAAACTCGTCATTTCACATGCCTATGTATTATTCTTCGTATTTCGCTGTTATACCTTGTAAACATCTCAATAATAGAGGAACGCACACACGAGTAGTCAGCAAATGGGGAACGACGAGGAACATTTTAGGGTTTCGACTAAGATTATCTTCATATATATCGCGTATACAATGGAGAAATACTAAGAATAATACATAGGCAGGTGAAATGATGAGTTCACCCCTTCATTTAAAATTCAATTAACCGTATTCTGACGAAAGGACCTCAATTGGAAAGAAATTAAAAGTCAAGGGACCTAAAGTGTCCAAATTAAAAGTCAAGGACTAATTTTGGAAAATCAATATAGTCAGAGGACCATTGCTGGAATTAACTCCTTATTTAATTGTTGTTTGACTTTCAATCATATCCATCTATTGAAACTTTATCAATGGATGAGATGGGATCTCATGATCTCACCTAATTGGGGTGGTTTCATTGGATCCAAAATTTAAATAATATTAAATAATTAATACAAAATTATTATAAAGATGTACCTAAAATATGAGTGTAAAATATGTCTATCAATATATATACATATATATATATATATATATATATATATATATATATATATATATATATATATATATATATATACCAACACACGTGCACTGTTTTTTTTAGCTAGCCGCCTAGACGCTAGGCGCTACTCTATCACCCGACTAGCGCCTACTGCAACCATGATTATAAGTAACAAATAATTTATTCTTGAATTATATTCTATTTTGAGTTAATACCCAAAATAGTCCCTCGACTATGTCGTAATTACCAATTTGGTCCTCGACTATCATTCTTACCCAATTAAGTCCTCAACTATACAATTTTTACCCAATTTAGTCCTTTGTCAATTTGACTGTTTGTTGACTGTCAAAAGTGGAAATAAAGTTGTAATTTTACAAGTTTTCTCCTTCCTCCGCATTTAGCAGCGCTAAACCATGTAGCAATAAGCTCCGGTTGGGTTCTAAACCTGTCAGTATCGAAGTAGTGGTTGTGCATCGGATAGCCCATGAATTTGATTTTCAACAATTTTTTGACGATCGAAATCTGATCGGAGTGTATTACTGCATGGTTTGGCGCTGCTAAATGGAGAGGAAGGAGAAATCTTGTAAATTTATAATTTTATCCCGACTTTTGACAGTCAACAAACAGTCAAATTAATACAGAGGACTAAATTGGGTAAGAATTGTATAGTTGAGGACTAAATTGGGTAAGAATTGTATAGTTGAGGACTTAATTGAGTAAAAGTTACATAGTTGAGGACTTAATTGGGTAAGAATGATAGTTGAGGACCAAATTGGTAATTATGGCATAGTCGAGGGACCATTTTAGGTATTAACTCTTCTATTTTTCGTATTAATTTTTATTATAATTTCACATATTTCACAAATAAAATTTCATGAGACAAGTCTCACAATAGACTTTTTTCTTTTGGTATAAGAGCATCCACACTAAGGGGGGAATGTGGAGTTATTTCATAAATAAATCACTCAAGCAAAAAATAATATTGATGTGGGAATGAGTTATTTGAAAAAGAATGAGTCTGCAAATTATGGATTAATGTCAGAAATTTAAAAAAAAAAAAAAAAGAAGAAGAAGAAACGCGCACAGCCTGGGCAAAATCCGGGCGCGTGCAGTGCAGCATTAGTTTTTTAATTTTTTTTAAAAAAAATCAATTTTATCTTTTTTTTTTCTCTCCCCTCTCCCATTCTCTTTCCTAATCACTCTTTCATTATCCCACATTCTTTCCAACTGATGCGGATGCTCTAAGATTGGCTGGGGATTGTAGGTCAAAAAATGATCGAGCTCATTTTACAGTTAAATGTGTACTCTAAAAAGTAAATATATCAGCTTTATACCTTTAATTTATATGAATTCGGTTGCATGTGTATTGTCCTGCCTCCTTTTTTGCGTACTAAGCTTTAATTTTCAAGTCTTGTTATTCGATCTTCTCAAACATTCCCTTCAGTACGTCAAGGATTATTTAGTTATGTTTCAATATGAAAGTGTTGAAAATTTATTTAAGGTTTGGGAAATGAGCATGTTACTACCCTATCTAGCCATGCTTCATGCCGCCATTGCCTGCCTAATTCATATGGAAAACCAAAACTCATTCTGATCTGGTGCCCCAAAATGCTGACTCATAGCTATACAGCATCGGCATTACGTCATCAACACCCACCAAAACTAATCTATACTAGCGAGTTACAAAAATATTATTGCCATACTCCGATCCATTGCGTGATAATTATATTGCATGAATATTTAATTTCTCCATTTATATTAACATCATATCCTTAATAAAAAGTTCTCTAATTAAATGAAACTCTATTGAGTTAAGTGTATTCTACATGATGATTATATATCTATATATAACATATAAGAGCAACACTAAAATTTGATTTTCTTCAATTTTTTCCCATGTGACAAAGAGAGGAGAGAGATTGGTGAGGTTCTTCTGCTAACTTGATTTTACATCTGAAATTTTTGTAATGCAAAAACCATCAAAAATCATAACTGTTAAAGCTCATTAGTCACATAATTAAAAAAAAAAATTAAAAAAGGAAAATCTTAATTTTATTTCCTACTAACATGTCAATAATTTTAACTTAAGTAAAATAGAAGAATTACACTCTTTAAATTTAATTGTTCAATTCAAGAAGTTTCACACTGCTTTATTGACACAGGAGGAAGAAAAAACTAGGATATGTGAAGAAAAGGAGGGAGAGAGGGGAAAAAAAAAAAAAAAAAAAAAATTTAGCACAAAAGATGAACCTGCAAAATTGCCTGGAGGAAAATATAATCTTTGGCCGATTTGTCAGACAAGATGCTCATATATCTTTCCAACTCTACACACTGATGAATGTTTGGTAACTCCCCAACATACAAAACAAAACTGGGGTGGACACCTTAAGCCTCCAGAATATGTTGCCTCCATGAATGTCTAGACACACCTTTAAACTCAGTCATATACGAATTGGTTGATTGGCCAGCTTTGCTCTCTTCAGCTTTGCCTTTTTGCTTGCAATTTCTTGGAATGGATTTGGGCCACCAAAGTCGAGTTTGGAACTCCTTACCTTCTTCCTCTTACCCTCATCATAATGCTCATCCCTGCACACAAATGGTATTAACAGATTAAATTACAAGAATTAAGAGCTAAGACTTGTGAATATGATGGTCTTGTCATAGAATGTTTTTTTTATATGGCAAGAATGGAACTCACCATTCATCCCCAATGTAGCCAATTTTGACACACTCATTTCCTGGTTCAGTAACGTCCAAAGGAGAAATTTGTTCGCCATCCCAACTTGGCACTTCATAAGATACAAAACAAGTCAGTCCTATAGCTATGGTTAAATCAATTTTTGTACAGCTCCAACAAAGGTAATGGAGGTGGAGCAAGTACTTGAAAGTAATAACTCACCCGTTGTCCCCTCTAATCCTCTGGTGAGCATGTTCATCAGACCACTCTGCTTATCAGTCATCAGTACAGTTTCAACATTCCCTGCTCTCTCTTTAGGTACTTCATTAACCATTCTACGTTGCAAGTGTCCAGTATCCAGTTGACCTTTTACACCCGAATTGTAGACCTCTACATCAGAGACACATGTCAATCTCTTCTTATGGAGCGAACGTCTGGTAGTCAAAACCTTTGCTTGCTCAGAAGTAGGACCAAGGCTGCTTGGCAGGGCATGTTCCCCATTCAAGTACTCCAAACTCCTATTATCGATGCGTGAAATGCAATGTTTTCTAAGTTTTTGTTTTCTCTTCCTTCTCACATATAATGCAGTACCAAAGATGAGGGAACTAAGATGCATGCTGGTGATATGTGACTTGAAAGGCTTCTTTCTAACTTTCAGGTTGGTCTTCCCATTGGCTTTCAGTGGTTTGGTCTTGCTTGTCCTCAAAGGGTCTGATAGTGTAACTAATATATCAGATCCAATCTCACTTGTCTCATTTCCCTTGGAGAAACCGTGAATCTGAAACACAGTTCCACAACAAACAGATAAGGAAAACATTTTATATATTTGTTTTAACATTTAGAATTAAGCAAATGCACATTCAAATACCATTGCATACCTGATTGGACTTTAATTGGCCTGCCTCTTTCAGCTTTTGCTCACTAAGTTCCAATACCTAATCATGATATCGAATGTCTCAGATATGTGAAAAAAAAAAAAAAAAAAAAAAAAAAATTTACAACCTCATCAAAGAAGAATTGAATATGGATGAAAGGGAAGCTACCTTTCCAGGAATACTTTTTCCCTTGCTACACCTAACTAAAGATTTTTTAAGTATACTGTCATCGTCTGGTTTGTGACTGGAGTTGTCACTTGAATCCTTTTCATTGATTACATCCTCATTGCAGCTTAACGGCAGTACAATAGAGCCACTTGAATCTTTATCCACGGTACTATTTGACTTAGGAAGTGCAGGCATTGGGACATTTACATCTTTCATCCTAACATCTGTATTGCAACCAATAGGCCTCGTCATTGCAGTTGGGACTCTGCAAATATTATGAGTTCCATCTGAGACATTACCCAATGTAGCAGTTAGAGGCGAACATATTCCAGCAGTTATTGAAGCTTCCTTTGTTGAACCACATTTATGCTCTTTAATTCCTACACCATTTATTAAACTGCTGTCTTTATGTGCAACATCAACATGCCTCTTAGGCAAACTACTTTTCCTATCTCGAACATAGAAAAGCATGTACGCCTTTTGCTCCAACACCTTTCTCTCGTTCACCTGGAAGACCTATTCATTGCATAGAAGATGCATGTTCTTGGAATCATAATCTCTTAATTGAAGCATGCAAGTACCATCTACAGACTCTAAACTTCTCTTTTCAAGTGCAATGACATGTTATGTCTATCCAAGAAGGTAAAGAGATACTCATCAGAACCAAATCAATTACAGTCTAGTTAGTTGCTAAAAAGTCTCCGAAGAGAGTGGTAGTGTATAACACCAACAACATAGAATAGAAAAATTAAATGAAGATAAATTTGGAGATAAATTTTATATTGTTCACGCTACTTGAAATGCCACTTACATCCTTAACATGAAACATTCACAAAAACTGAAGCCATCCTACTAGAAAACCCACATACGCAGTTGCAGGTAGCAAACACAGGACAGTTTAAACTTTAAAGAGAAAGAAGCTACTCATCATACAAGTTTATGAAACAGAGACACCAAAACTATCACAAGTATACACTCTATGACAGAAGTAGTATACTTAATTCAAGCCAAATACCATCAAAGAGGAAAGAGAAAGCTAAAGTTGTCACTATACCTGATTATCATCAAGGGAATACCACATCCCACTAGAAGTGCGAACAAAGCAGTAATAGTGGCCAGAATGGGTGGACCAGCCAGCATGAACTAGTACAGCATAAAGTGTATATTTCAAATCACTAGTCTGCAATGTTTGCAAATGAAAACATTAATGAAAGCACATAATGTGAATTTGAAGTGCTAAGGGAATTGGTCTAGGAGGAGAGGGCTATGCAAACAATTATGCCTAAATGGATGAGGAAAGAGAGAGAGAGAGAGAGAGAGAGAGAGAGAGAGAGAGAGAATATTAAAGAATAAAACATATTTAAAATTAAATATATATAAAAAAAAAAAAACAAAAAAGAGTTGGTGTTTACATGGTAGGCATGGGGTGGGATTAAACAGGCGGATTTAAAGGGGTTCAGGTAACAGGTAAGGGTAAGGTGCTATATGATTGAAAGGCATTAAACAATGAAATTTTAAATTAATAAATAATAAAAAACATAGAAACTTTTTTTAATGGTTAGAAAAAGTACATAAGAAACACCTGGCTTGTTTCATAGAATATGATAAAACATGTATGTTTAGACAAAAAACTAGATTTTAAATTGAGAAGAGATTAACATCTATCACTTTAATAAACAAAAATAGTATTAATGAATATATATTGACACTGTGACAGTCAAAATTGTGTAATATGGCAGTAAAAATAAAATTATATTTTGTTTTAGCTGTAGAAATATTATCAAACTAGCTCTATTTTTAGCTAGTTGAGATGAAAACATGCGAAATAAGGAATGCAGTTTGACAAGAACAAAACATGCAAACATGTTATTTTAAAAAGTAGTTTTATATGCCAAGAACAATTTTGGATTTAAGATTGCGACAATAACAAAGATAGTCATACTTACATGGGGGCTACTCATAAAACGGTTTAAATCCAAAACAGGACCATAGTGAATCTTCTTATCAATTTTCTGCCCAGGTAAGTGTGAACCAAACCGCTTCAAGTGAATGGTAAGGACATGAGGGGCCTTGTCAACAGAGAGCTGCTTACGAGCCCTGACTTTTTGTTTACATTGTTGACAGCTATACTGCTTTTCACCTCCATCCAACAACTCTGGGGCAGTGAAGTGTTCCAGTGCCTTGTATAAAGAATCTGCCTTGATTATTTCTAAACTTAGATCTAAGAAGGGATCATACTTGTCAGAGCAGTAGGAACACTGCATGCACTTCACCTGCAAACGGTTATTAGTAGATTGAAATTTTTAGTTGACAAAATGCAACAAGCACAGCTTTCTGACAAGCAGATTCAAAAAAATATCATGCAGAGAGCCTATTTCTGAATAGTTCCAAATTAGTAAGACCACTAATAAACTCAAACAAGGGAATCTCTCTAGTGATTGATTCATGGCCTCACCTGTTGACCATATAGCTAAGATTAATACAAACTTCTCTTGGAATTTGGAAAGCTAAAGTAACAGTTATTCTGGCTAAATCTAAATCATGTGGTTAACAGTTGAGGCAGTGAACCTCAGTCACTTAAAAATTCCTCAAATAAGAGATAACAGCAACCAAGAACAATTTACCCGACTGCGAAGGCGGCCACCAAACATTCTATGGACCAAGCTTTTCTCATAAGCACCAGGAGACTCACTGGGAATTCCTGAAGGTAAGCAGCATTTATGCATTGATTCTAGCAAATTCACCATATACTCATGTGCATCTTCCTGTCTAGCATTGCGGAAATTCCGAGATATGCCTATGTATAGTCAAGGCTAACTCCAAACATTCAAAGCTACTGGCCACAAGTACCAAAAGTAATTCTTTAAACTTGTGGCCATTTGTAGTCAACAAATTAGTAGATATCCAGCACCCTTGAATTCAATTGCTCAATGATCATATCAAGCTTAACTCATTGTGCAACTTTAACACGCAACATTCAAACCAAAATAAAAAGAAAACAAAAAAACACACAGAAACCCACAAATCAAATGCAAACATCCAACAAAAACCCTCACAAACTAAAGTAGCAAAAATCAAGAAGTTCATGCATCATAAGCTGTTAAGAGGATACAGCGCAAGTTGGACACAAGATCTTTTGGCGCAAGAATTCTCCCTGTTGCCTGAAGAGCACGACTCACATGCCTCTGGATGGCACATAAAGCACAAAACCCAGCTTTACGACCTTCAAAAATCAACCAGACATGTTTTCTAAGAAGGATGAGTATGCAAAGAGTAAGCAAGTTAAGGGTTAAAAACAACAAAATCTATTTATCAAAACCCAAAAAAGGAAGGTTAGAGACCAGCATATATAAATCCAATGTGTTTTCACTCCAATGCTTTCTGCAGTTAATTATAATTCAGATCAACACTGCTAAAATCATAGAGTGCCCACTCCATGTTTATTATCATAAAAAGAAAAAAAAAAAAAAAAAAAAAAAAAAAAAAAAACAAGTATTCACAACTCTAAAGTGTGAGAAGCAAAAATTAAAACAGAACACATTATTTGGTTGCTATAACATGTGAGTATGTGTGTTTTAATGACTACAAATACAGCAGTATATTAACTCAGCTGCCCTTAGAATTCTAGGATAATCTTGACATATCATCAAATAGGCATTCGTATTTTCTTCAGGCTCAATTGTGAATATAGTATCAAACCCTGCATGGAGGTGGATATATACTATAATAGAACCAACCTGCCAATTTGTATGAAAACCTAGCAACCAGTTCAGCCACTTGGCAACCAAGAACTTTAAGGCACATAGAAAAACCGTTTTATCAAGCACCATTGCCTACTTTCAAATTTTAGCATTTTAGCAATTGTAGGAAGGCTGGAGTAGCCATGGGAAAGTTAGGTGCAGCATGTTCCACAGATTAGGAGGAGGTCATGCATTATTCCTACTCATGAAGTTCTCAATTTTGTTTTGGGTTGGGGAAAATGATGGAGATAGGTGGGAAAGCGAAAGAAACACTCACAAGAATTTTGATGCTTCCCACTTTCCAAATATGCTGCTAGAGGTTCAGTGTATGTCAGACACTGTAAGACTGCATTGAGAAAGCAAGTATTTCCAAGATTTTCTAAGCCAGCGCCCTGAAACATGAATACAAATAACAAAAGGATTCATTCAAATAATCTGTAAAATCTCTACAGTCAAATATTGAAAGGAAAAAGAACATAAGATTGCAGCTCAAAATGTTATAAAAGACCATAAAATCCTCTATTTTGATAGCCACTGAAAGAAATTCTCAATTGATAGAGAATTTCTAACCCCTCACCGCAATGGTGATGATTGCTTTAAAAGACAAATAACTAAAACTCAGCATAATAAAATTTATTCCGTAGTAGATAAAGTAAACAAATTCATTATTTAGAACGAAAGAAAAGAACTTCAAAGTATTCAGGGAACCAAAAAGATAACAAGAAACAACCAAAATATACAAATAGACAGAAATATACGGAGTATCTAGATAAGTTTAAGAAGTATATGTATCTGTACATACTAATATTAAGGTTATGAAGCATACTACACTGACAAAAGGCAAAAGCTAAGTATATCTTATTTTAGTCAAGTCAGTAAGTCACTAACAATTCTCATAATTTTCCTGAATGTGATGTTAAGGCTGAGCTCCGGATCAAAGTCTAGCCCATCGTTGCTGCTGCCCTTATTCGAGGGAGGGTTGCCCGGGCCAGGAGCTTTGCCAGGCACCGAAGCTGAATTCGAACTCGGGTTCAGTGTCTCCAGCCGAAACCCTCCACTGCCATTCCCAAATCCATTGAATGATTTCCGGGCCAAATGGAACTCGATTCTCCGGTGAAATAACGACATTCCTGATATCTGTTCAGACTCACCCGCAGCTAGCGGGTCCAAACTCGACTCCATTGGGTCGGTTATAGAATTTGCCGACAATTTCGTCTGTGTATGCACAGAATTGAATGTACGAAACAAAACTTACTCCAGGCGTGCGTCGACATCCATTTTCGGGGATGAGGATTCCCCACCCTGCAAAAGAAATAGAAATTACTGACTGCTTCATCCATGAAATTCGTCTTACTACATGCAAATTCAATAAATGTTTCCAATCCTTCGATAAAATCTTGATTAAGATCACCACGTTGAGTTCGTCTTTGAATCTTTGATACATCCAACTTCTATCCATAATCCATATTACTCATTTATAGATGCCTATATATTTACATTCACATATATTATCATGATTTTCAAAGTAATGTATAATAAAAGGAAAATGGAATAAAGAAAGTTCCCTATATAAAGCCTAGTTTTGGTTAAATAAAGCTAGTTCTGGTATGCTAGAATTAAATATGAACCTAATTATTCAAACATGCTAACTGGTACATTAATACTTACAAGCTTATAAAATGTCATAAGACTTCAATATTACAATATATATTATTTACAAAAATGACGAGTGGGGGATGAAGTGGAGAGAGACTAGTGATGAGAGGGAGGGATTCTCAGTCCTATGATCTGTTCAAAGACTGTTGAAAATGAAAAAAAAAAAAAAAAATCTGGAAAAAAAAAAAAAAAGAATAACTCTGACCACTAGATTGTAGTTATGGAGCATTATTACTTTCAATAAGTCCTATGATATGATGACCACTAGATTGTAGTACTATAAACATATACATACTTCTACATTGAAAAGCCTAAGGTAAATAGAGCACTGACTTTCTAAAACAACAATTACTCTCTTAATCCAATTCCTTAATTGGATCCCTTTGTAAGTATAATATGGAGACACTACCAAAAAAAAAATGCAAAAAACACCACCCACAGAGTCAGTTATTAGATCTTACCGGCAAGGATTTAGAATGTGAAAGCAGATGATTAGCACAACTTTCACTCATACCTTAAAGACATTTGCAAGCAGTAAAAGAAACTCTTGCTACATTTGAAAGCAGGTTTATTTTCTTGCTACACTAAAGAAAAAAAAAATTTGGGCATCTCTTTCTACTTACTGTATACCCGGCTTTACACTATACAGAGAAGCAAGGAGGAGGAACTATAACCACATATCCGACTAACAGTTGATAATGTTTTCTATGGATGGATTTATCAATTAAGTTCAGTTTACAGAGTCTGTTGGAAGCAGACTAGAAGAGTTTGGTTGGTTATATAGTGGAGTATTTTACTCAAACAGGTTTGTTGAATATTGAGTTTGAGTAGCAACAGCAGTCACAAAAACAAGGAATGTTCAGGTTGCACAAAAAGGGAAGAAACAGCAGTCACGGCTCTCTGCTGCGATACGGAGCCGTCGTCCACTCCATTCTTTAATTTACTTCACATGCATTGTATATATCCTCCAAGTAAATTTTATACAAATTTTACATAATTATTGTATATATATTATGAAATTTTAATTATTAAAATAAAGTTTAAATTCTTACCGAGATAGCTGACTGAAAGTGTCCGATGTGGTAAAATTCGCGAGAAGGTGTCCAAGCTCGGGAGGCTTCGGAAATCTTTTGCGAGAAGATGTAATTGTTCCTCGCCGTAAAGCCCTGCGAGACTGGAAGTTTAAAGAAACAAGGACGGAGGAGGAGCAGTCACGGACGGAACCGGCGCTATGCGGCGGCGGCGACGGCGACGGCGATTTTAGGCTGCAATGGCTATGAATGCAAATATGCAATGGCGTTTGATTTTAGGCTCTGCTGCAATGGCTGCGTCTATCTGAAAATAGGCTAGCATTTAGGGTTTTGATTTTAATTTTTATTATATTTGATTTTAATTTGCTTTAAAAACGACAACGTTTAAGGGTTAAAAAAATTTAAAAATATTGCGACGGAATTAATTTTATTGTTAATTCCGTCTCAATATTTAGTCAATACACAAAAAAATTATTTTTTTTCACAACGGAAAAAGGATGTTACCATTTCGCAACGGAACTAAAATCGGTCGCCTCTTCCATCGTGAATTTGAAGATGGAATTTAATTCCGTCGCAAATTCGGTCCTGAAAATTTGTCGCCAATATTTCGCGAGTTTTATTTTCTCTTTGCGCCAACTTTCTCGACGGAATTAAATTCCGTTGCCGTTTCCGTCACAAATTGGCAACGGAAGACATCGCAAAAACGATCGCTATATCGCAACGGGTTAATATCCGTCGCGATTCGTAATTTTTATTGTAGTGAGGTTAGGTTTTAAGCTGTTTTCTGCAATAATCCATCATTCAGTTCATTAAAGACATATATACTGAGAAGCAATACTACTTTCTGTTCATCATCAAGACAACAAAATTGCATCTTTTGTAGCGTTTTACTAATTTTATTTGGCACAAGTGTCAAATAGACCCATCACACTTACCTCTAAAAATTTGTCGATTAGCTTTTTTTGCAGGTTACTTCCGGTAGAGTCTAACTTGGTCCGATTACTGATTATGTGGCAATGATGACATGGCAATTAAATAACAAAATTAACCAAACCCAATAATGGCATGGCAATTAAATAACAAAATTAACCAAACCCAATAATGACATGACAATTAAATAACAAAATTAACCGAACCCTAATTTTTTTTTTTAATTCTTGAATTCTGAGAAGTCAGACATTCCTAATCAGTGAGATCACTTCAACATAATTATTCGAACCCCCATCTTAAATAATTCGAAACCGACGACACTTATGTTATTTAATTTGAATGCCTGGATTAGGTAATTCGAAAGTGTCGTTGTAGTTTATGTGTTCTAAGGCGTCAAAGTGCAGCAGGTTTTCAAAGGCGTCAAAGTGCAGAACTGGAGATTATGATGGACTAGGGTTCTGCTGGAGATTAGGAAGTAATTAAATTCCACATCATCATCATTTTTATTTAAATAAAATTACATGTCAGGAGTGTGGATGGGCAACCTGGAGGTAACCTGCAAAAAAAGTTAATCAATAAATTTTTAGAAGTAAGTGTGTCTAATTACATTATATTTTAGTTGATGGGGGTAATTGAACACTTCGAGATAATAGATGAGCCTATTTGACACTTGTGCCATTTTATTTTGATAATTGTGGAAAACAAAAAACTAAATCATAAATGTCCCCTACAACTAGATTATCACGGTACCACCAAAAGAAAACATACTCCGTAATATTTAGCATAATTATTCAATAAATAAAAAGAAAAGCTTGAGTGAGAGAATATCTATCACAGAGTCTTTAAGTATAAAATAAAGAAAAAAATTAGATTAGAGTAAATACCCAAAATGGTCCCTCGACTATAGCTAAATTCACAAATTGGTCCTCAACTTTTAATTTTAACCGATTAAGTCCTTAAGTTTGCAATTTTGACACGATTTGTTGACCGTGATCGACGATCTCCAGAAGAACCTTTAGCTTCGTCGGAGCACGTGGAGGCCTCCAGAATGACGTTGCACCGGTTCGGAAACACGTCGTCTTCTTCGCTCTGGTACGAACTCAACTACATTGAATCCAAAGGGAGGATGAAGAAAGGCGACCGGATTTGGTAGATTGCTTTCGCCAGTGGATTCGAATGTAACAGTGCGGTCTGAAAATGCAATCGGAACCTTAAAAAACCGATGATGGACCATGAAATTACATATATATCCTTAAAAATCACAGTCAACAAACGGTCAAATAGACAGAGGACCAAATTGTGTTAAAATTACAAAGTTAAGGACTTAATTGGTTGAAATTGAAAGTTGAGGACCAATTTGTGAATTTAGCTATAGTTGAGGGACCATTTTGGGTATTTACCACAATGACAAAATAGAGAAGCAGCGAATTGAAACCAGATAAGTAGAGATGGGCGGACGACTGCCAACAAGTCGGCAACGGAGGGCGTGACCGTGCGACTCTTGAAGAGCTGACTAATGGCAGGGAGTGAGACGGTGAGAGATGAAGAGAGGCAGTCATGCACTCAGGTAGAGGCACTAGGTATTTTTTGCCATTTGAAGAGATAGTCTAAGGCTGGGATTAACCCAACAAATTTAAGCTTTGCAAGATGACATAGATGATGACATGGGAGCATAATATTATTTTCTTTTATTTTTTACTGTCATCTGTCTAGAAAACTTGCAGAATTAGCAAGTTTGCTAAACAGCTTGCTAGGCAGCTTTTTGCTGCCAACGGCAGCTTTATTTGACTTTTTTGTTCTTTTCTATTTTTTTTAATCTCTTTTATTATTATATTATTATTATATTTATAATATAATAATATAAAAGTGAAACCACTTTAGAAAGTGAGAGAATATTGCAGGGATGTAGTGTGAATAGTAGATGATTTACAAATAGGATTATGTGGAAGTGAGACCCATTTTTGAGAGTGAGAGAGATTTGCAGGGATAATGTTAGCCTAAGGCTGAACTTATCCCTATAAGTGTACCCATTTGCAAGATGATTTGACATGCCACATGAATTTATTTTTTATTTTTATTTTTATTTTTGTTATCTGACGTGTAATGCAAACTTACAACTCTTGCAAGTTTGCAAAGTACAAAGAAGGCTGCCATTCCTACTTTAGGCTGTCACCAACCCTGCAAATATCACATTTGCTAAATGACATGGATGATGACATGGAATAAATAATATTGTTTTCCTTTTTTTTTTTAACGCCAACTGTATTGCAAACTTGCATTTCTAGCAAGTTTGCAAAAGACAACAATGTCAGCCTTTGTTGTACTTTGGTATTGCAAGGCTGTCGTTCCATTTGTCCTTTTCTTTACTTTTTTATTATTTTATTATTATTATATATATAATATAAAATGAAAGTGGGACCCATTTTTGAAAGTGAGAGAGATTTGCAGGGATGTAGTGTGAATAGTAGATAATTTGCAAATAGGATGATGTGGAAGTGGGACCCATTTTTGAGAGGGGGAGATCTTTGCAGAGATAAGGTTAGCCTTAGTATTGCAAGGCAGCATGGCTGCCTGCAAATTTGTACTTTTCTTTATTTTTTATTTTTTTATTATTTTATTATTATTATATATAATATAAAATGAAAGTGAGACTCATTTTTTAGAGTGAGAAAGATTTGTAGGGATGTAGTGTGAATAGTAGATGATGTGAAAGTGGGACCCATTTTTTTGAGTGTGAGAGATTTGCAGGGATAATGTTAGTCTAAGTTTTATTTGACTTTTTTCCTCTGTAGTTTCTATATCATATAAAAAATAATTACTTAATTATTATATATATATATATATATATATATATATATATATATATATATATATATATATATATAGAATTGCACTCATGTGCGAATGAAGTGCCCAGGAGGAAATATGCGAACGAATCAGCGCGGGACACGTGTTCAAATCTAATGGATTAAAAAAAATGAGGTGGTATTTTTGTAAATAATTGAACATTGAAGTGCAAGTAAAATGTATTACAAGTGCATTTAAAATGTATTATAGGTGCAAGTAAAATTTACACTGAGCATCAATACTAAGTGCACATATAGTTATAAGTTGTTGCACCTATAGTTATAAGTAGGTGCACCTAGGTGCATGAATGTTTGCGGGAAGTGAATGTTAACAAGGCAAAATTACATGCACTTATAGGTGAAAGTAGGTGCACCTATAGTTATAAGTAGTCACATAGTTATAAATAGTTGCACCTATAGTTATAAGTAGGTGCACCCAGGTGCATGAATGTTTGCGGGAAGTGAATGTTAACAAAGCAAAATTGCATGTGCTTATAGGTGAAAGTAGGTGCACTTGTAAGTGGTGCACTTCGATATTCAATTATTACGAAAATGTCACCGCGTGTTTTTTTTTAATTTATTAGATCTGGACACGTGTTGCGCGTGGATTCGTTCGCATATTCCTTCATGGGCACTTATTCGCACCTGAGTGCATATATATATATATATATATATATATATATATATATATATATATATATATATATACTAGTAATTGTCCCGTGCGATGCACAAACTATTATTAATTTACCGATTAAATTTTTGACATCCTCTGAATTAGCAAAGAAAGTAATTGTTGTGGAAAAAAAAACATACTTGAGTTCTTGAGCTCAGAATTGATTTGATTAAAAATGTAAGTATAACTATACAATGCAATATTTAATATTTTTAAAAGTTTAGTTATGCTATTATTATGTTGATTTTAAAGTTTATTATTACTTGTATTATTATTTGAATTTGTATTTTTTTTGAAAGGAATTTGAATTTGAAATAACTACTTTAGTTATATAACTAACGTATTTAAATAAAACTTGTAAATAAAATAACAGGCGATATTTGTCAAAAATCTCCACAAAAAACTTATTCATTTGAAAAAGATTATTTATGTAAAAACTATATTTATTTTATATCTAATTTCTTCTCTTTATATATGTGGAGTCAAATTAATTATAAGAGCAAACCCAATAGGGGGTTTATTCATAGATTTTGAAACAGTAAAATTTCCTTGCTTAGCTTTTGACAAATGGGAGTTGGAGATTTTGCTAATTTCTTTCTCCTACAAATGAGAAGATTTTGTCATTGCTTTATCCTTTTGTTTCTCTCTCCTGCTGATTGACCTTACATCGTGGGACCCAACATCCACACTGTATGTTTCATTTGTTTTTTTTTTTATTTTTACTATTTATTAAATTCATAATTATCAATAATAATATTATTAAATTTATAATTATCAATAAGATTTCATCAATTTTATAATTATAATTACAATATAAATTTTTAGAATGATAATAAAAAAAATAA